GCAAAACTCTTCCCCCCAGATCTAGGTTTACCGTTTCAGAAGGCTTTTTTGGCCCCATTTCCTCCATCTCTTTAGCTAGCTGATAATATCGCCCTGTGTTACTGCATAGCATCTTCCCCTCTCTCTGCGCAGTTCAGGGTTTTGCTACCTCTTGCCCATTACAGGAGGCGTCCTGTGGCGTGGCGGGTGCACATTGAGCTGTTGATAGCCACAGGGTTAGCGCTTTGAAACTACCAGCCTCTCCAAGGGTGAAAGGTGAGGTTTACTCCTGCAGGAAAGAGGTCTGTCCTTGGAAGCCCGTGGAGCAGTTCTGCCCTGTCCTGTCGGGTCACCTGCAGTTGGGGCAGACTCCATGGCAGGGAGTGTGACTAAACCTTGGTTTTGTTAACAAGAGGAAATGTAGGTGGGAAGGGTCACAACCTTATTTCAGATATTCTCCCCACCAATCAGAAAAATACGTCCATCTGCTGAAACCCTGCCCTCCCGTAACGTCCCTACTCTCAATGTTCTCTCTAATTAAAAAAAAAAGATTTTCCTTGTAGCATGTTATGTTTGTGTGTACATCTGACCCTTTCACGTGTACAATTCAGTGGCATTAATTTTGTTTATAATGTTGTGCGACCCGTTGATCCATTTCCTTATTTTTCAAGTGCCCTTTACAGAGACTTCCTGCCCCCTAAGCAATGGCCCCATCTTTTCCTTTTAGTCTTATTTTCAAGAAAGCTTTCTGCCGTCCAACCCGGGGGTTTGTCCTCTGGGGGTCCTATGACATCGATCTCATCCACAAACATTGTAGGTGACACCTGTTATTCGAGGTGACGAGGTTATCAGGACACATAAGAAGCCCTCTTTCACTATCAGGCTCTTATAGTGGAGGAGGGATGCTCTCATACAACAGAGGCTTCAAACATGTGATTCTTGCTCTATGTGAAATATGAGTGTGGCATCATGGTAGAGCAGCGGTTCTCAACCTGTGGGTTGCGACCCCTTTGGGGATCGAACGACCCTTTCACAGGGTCTCCCAATTCATAACAGTAGCAAAATTACAGTTGTGAAGTAGCAATAAAAATAAGTTTATGATGGGGGGATCACCACAACATGAGGAACGATATTAAAGGGTCTCGGCATTAGGAAGGTTGAGAACCACTGTGGTAGAGGGAAGGAGTGATAATTTAATAATCCCAAGGCCGAAGGTCCCCTTTTAAGGTAGGGAATATTCGAGCTGGGCCCTGGAGGATGAGCTGTGGGGTGGCAGGAAGCCATGGCATTTTAGGAACGGGGGGCTTGCCCAAAGTAGCTGGGCACAGGGCGCATGGAGGAAGTGTGGTGTTAGATGAGATTTGGAAATGTAGCTTGGGGCCAGGCAAGGAATGAGCTTAAAAACCAGATCAAGAAGCTTGGAATTCACCCAATATTTAAAGCATCCAAGGTGCTTTGAACTTCAAAGTAAAATTTTGAGGCCTATGCTGGGGTTTTTTTGTTTGTTTCTTTATTTGTTTTGTTAAATAACTAACTTTGGTGGTATGATGAAAGTTAGATTGTTGGGAAAGGTTGAAGTCAGAGGTAAAAAGCAGGTTACTTCCTCAGTAGACCCAGAAGTATGTTGTATTTGTTTCTCTTTGAAGAGTACCCATCAATTGTGTGTGTGTGTGTGTGTGTGTGTGTGTGTGTGTCCTGAGAGTTATTTTTGTACTTTGCTCTCCAGTCAGAGATGCTTCCTGAAGCTGGGCCATGACGTAGGGTTTTGAAGGAAGGGAAGGGTCCAGCAGCAACTGCTCTCATCAGAAGCATCTAAGAATTCTTGAAAGTTGCATTTATAAGACAACCCAACAATTCAGTTAGTTGCTTCTCTAATTAAAGGAGATAGTGGTATGAACCAACATTACAACAAATAATAGTCATCATGCACAGTTAGCATTTTGAGTTCATCCATGTACTTTGTATCTATTGTATATGTATATGTATATATATATATATTACCGTGCTATATATATGAGTGCACTGAAAGCATTCTCAATATGCAGTACAAGCCACGTTTTACTGATACACTGAAGCTTGGACAATTTAACCAGCCAATAAATTAAGGTTTTTTTTTACTCTAACCAGGGCTTCCTTCCATTCCCTACCCTTTTGCTCTCTCTGCAAAAGCCATGCCTCCTTTGTTCTGGACCCTTTTCTGTTCCTTCATCAGAAGAAAGAAGCTATGCCTAGAATGTTCTTCTCCTAGATCTGCACAAAGCAACCCCTTCACGTCTTAGTTAAATGTCACCCCTCAAGGAAACCTGCCTTGATCGCCCCATTTAATGTTGCCTCTGTTCCTATTGGATGTGGAAGAGAGATGAGGCGCTTGGCCCCCATCAACAGCTGGAGCTCAGACGCCCACAGGGGCCGGTCTCCCCTTTCCTGGAGGGTTGCTGGGCGTCCAGAAGGACTCGGTGGCAGTGAGTTTGGTTTATCCCTCATTGCCTGTCAGTCATTGTTTAGGATTATTTCTCCACTAGTTTGCTTTCTGTTCCATGCACTAGAATATAAATTTCATGAGGCCGAGTGCTTTCTGCACCTTGTACACTTCTCTGTCAAGCATATTTCAGAACAGTCTCAGGATGTCAGTACACATACAGTAAGTGTACACCTCCAGTACCCATTCAAAGGGTGGCTGAGAGCCTCTAGGGCCCACACTCTTCCCCAGCCCCCGTTTGAAGGGGTGTTTTGCTCTGCAGCCACTGGAACAAGACTGGCTGGGCGCATGGCACATTCACCTATGCAGCTGAACTCCCAGCTGATTCATCCTGTAAAGTCATATCGTGAGTTACTGAGAGAAGAGGTTCATGGATCCCTCTCTTTCTCGTTGTTTAAGATTCCTTAGTTAACTTTTGAAGTTTGTAGTTCGTGTGCAACCACTAGGCTAAGTGATTAGTTGAGATGCAGAAATGCCAAGTCAATTATTGC